AAAGTTGTGAACATTTACTTCATTGTACTTCAATGAGGCCAAGTTTGGGGCTTGTCTGACAAAGTATCAATTAAAATAAAGTTTGAGAGAGCATTACTTTGCTGTTGGTCCTAGAAGTTTTTCTTTCATTTGCATTTTATCAGCACAACAAATGAAACTAAGCAGATGAACATTATCATACAGTTTCCAGCTGTTGTCAAACTGTTGTTAATGAATTGGCCTCTTTCCAAGGCCAATTCTGAATTAAAACTACTGTCATCAAGACACTTAAACATCTCAAGTCTTGTCGGTTGTGTTGACATTAAATTTACAATAAAGTTAGTGAACTGAATGTAGGTACTTGTAGTTTTTACACATCATCTTAACTTTTGCCTTAATCTAACCACCGCATTAACCTAAACATGTCAAATGACACCAAATACTTTGAATGTAACCTGTTTTAAGTGTGTTAAAGTTCACAAAACCTGAGCTAACAGTGATCTTTAAACTGCAGCAGCAGGAAACAATAGTGTGTCTGTGTAATGGCGCCGAGACACAAGAGCTACAAACACCGGAGTCTGCACAAAAATACAACAAATGTGGACACTAAAATGATTCTGGATTAGTCTAGAACACATCAAGCCATTATAACAATCATTCTCACAGAAACGTTTGTCGACATATAATGTTAAAAGAAAGCTAATCATAGTATTGTAGAGACAAACCAGATCAGACGACTACAAGGAACCTAGGGGCAGAACTCTCTTCCGCTGTCGATTAACAAAGTATTTTAGCTCGAGCCACTGATGCTAAGACGCTGGTGACACACTTACCTTCCTAAAACTTTTAAATAAGACGTATCACCTCAGAGGACAGTGTTTGTCTTGTCTAGAAACACCACCAAACACCCTACTTTCCTTCACAGACTGAGTCCAAACTTGCGCCAAATCTCTTCTACCGCTTCCTCGCTGCTCTGTGATTGGTTAAAGCAAACCCGTCTGCGATGGTGATTGGCTCCGCTCACATGGTTGTTGCGTGCTACGTGTTACGTCATGAGTTGATTGGCGGAATAATTGTTCCGGGAACTTCAGTAGTGAAAATTTCATTCGTACATTATTTGATTTACTTTCTAACCCACTACATTTCAGAGCGAAATATTGTAGCCTACTTTTTACTTTACTACATTTATTTGACGCCTTCAGTTATTAGCTATTATTGAGATGACATACAAAACGTAACTACTTCTTAAAATAAGATGCATTATATTACTGTTATGAAGCAATGAAACCTGGCCAAAACACTGAAGTACTGCTAATATATTTATATAAAAATCCTATAATAAGATGAACCCATTCAGCATGATGAGTGTCATTGTGGCAAAGAATCAAACTATTTTATTTTATAATTTTAATATAATCAAACGATGGACTTTTTCTGTAACTGATGACATTTTGATTTATTATATTTAAGAACAACACTGAATCACCTCCAAAGTTACATACTTAAAACATACTCAAACAAATTCAAAGTGAAAGATGAATGACCCATGACCTGAGTAAAATCCAGCTATCTTAAAGTACAGTACTGTAGTAAATGTACTTAGTTACTTTGCAGGTGAAAACCTCTCATGGCCGAACAACCAAAACCAAAACTGTACATGGACAGAAATGACACCGATGTGCAAATGTTCCACCAGGAACCTTCACTTCAGCTGCAGTAACAGTGTCTCCTGAGAACGTGGCTACAAGCTGGTTAGAC